ACAAAAAGGAAAAAGAAAGTGGCGTTTGATTTATCCCCAGGCTACATCCGCATCAAACGTCCTAAATTTGTCTCTTCATCTCCGCAGTGTCCCGAAGAGAGCATCCTCTTAGCGCATGAGGCTGTGAGAGAGAGTGAGAGCTGTTCACAGGTCACAGTGACAGGGCACACACATGATAATGACTCTCAATGCAACAGTGAGGACATAAACAGCCAGGACCTGTTCATCACCCAGAAGACATTCAGAGTGTCGCCCTCCGAGGCTTCCAGCGGTGAAGCCAGTGACACAGCCGTTGCTGAAACGCCTGAAATGTTCATGCAGCGAGACAAGCGGCACACGTGTGTGGCACAGATAAAACAGCATCTTGAAGGATTGTACAAAGGTCCACAGGACTCCCTTTCCCGTCAGCATCACAGACAGACAAACCAGGATGTGAAGACGCCAAGGAAAGAAGAGGGGTTGAACAATGCACATCATAATGTCAAGAAGGGAAAATTGTCCTTTCAGACACAGATGGAACGAAACGCAAATCTTACTGAGGAGAAAAATGTCTCATGTCCTGTCCATATAAAGCCCAGTGTGGTGACTCCTTACCTGGCAGAACCAGTTGTTGTAAACTCCTCCCCTGATGCTGCAGAGTCAAAGAAACATTCCTGTACTTCAAGCAAACAGTCCATGACAAGCACCGCCACGCAGACAGAAAACTTCTTCACCACGGAACTCTCCTCCTACCTCAGCTTCTGCCAAAGAAGTAGAGTGACTGAGGACTTGAGACCTTTGGACCTGAGCCTGCCGCAGAGGGCCAGAAAGGACCTCGGGACATCGTCTTTACCGGGAGAGATTAAAGCTGACAACCACAAAGATCCCATTCTGCTTCGATCTTGTTCCTCGGGTGTGAAAGATGTCGAGGTAAAGAGAGAGCCTTCTGGTCTACATGCTTGTTCTGTGAGCACACGGGGGAAAGGCAAATCAAGTCTGCAGCCGCAGTCAGAGTCTGAGCCCAAGTCCACAGACACGTCAACCTCCAGCGAGGACAACGAGCCCCCCTGTCGCACTGGCAAGCTGGACCTGACCCAGGTGATACCCTACCCACTGTTCACTGCAGTTACTCTGGACCATGCAGCCACCAAATACCTTGTGTCTTGCAGAAGATACAATATTAACACATTTGTTTCTCAGGATCTAGTCAGTCAAATTACAGAGAAGAATAGATACTTAAATTGCAGTTTATTTCTCTCAAACTCCTTTTAGAAACTGCTATGACGTCCAAAAAATAACTGACCTGAGATCCACATGGAATGAAATGAAATCCTACCAATATTTCATCTCTACATTTAAAGGATAAGGCTGGCAGCATTATTCAATTCAGTTCAATTTTATTTGTATAGCGCCAATTCATAACAGAAGTTATCTCAGGACACTTTTCAGGTCTAGACCAAACTCCTTCTAACATTATTTACAGAGACCCAAACCTCGGACAGACCCTTCGGCTTAATGCAGTGAGGTTTAATAACAAAGAAAAAAATAAAACAGCAGATTTTTTCACAACCAAATCCTTTGCCTTGCCAGTGTGGTTTTAGAGCCCCAATGCTCTGCAGATAGGGAAAGAAACCCTCGAGTACATTAAGTCACAACTTCCACTCCCTTGGTTATTTCAGTTCAGTTTGGGATGAAAAATGAAACAGATCTGGGAGAGGGGGTCTGAGATAATGGGGATCGAAAAGGACACAAATAAAATGAGAACACATTTAGAAATAATTTCACATATTTAAAGTATTTACGGTTTGCTTTAACTATATGACCAGTGGCTTGACCTGCCTCCAATACAGATAGTTACAAGCAACACAAGCAAGCATTTCTTCCGGTTCTCTTTTACCCCCTCAAAAACAATTTAAACAGAAATAACCTTTTTCCTCCTAATGTGCATAAAGTTTGTAAGAATACCAATGCTGAATGAGGATATATATATATATATATATGTATAATGACGATTATATATTTTTCTTACTGCCCACAAATTGCATGAAAACCAGAACCACCAACAATTATAGACCTTTTTCACAGCAGCCATTTTGACGTGAAATAGTAGGATAAACACGAATGACACTAATTAAGTAAATTAACTCTAAATGATCGTCATGTATCGTGTGTTGTCTCGTAGTGTAACACGTAGCATTCATTTGAATCCTTTATGCTGAATGAGTATTAACATGACTTATGACGTCTGCCCTCAGACACAATCCTAAAACAACAAATTATAAATCGGTTTTATGCTTAAAGGTCCAGTGTGTAACATTTAGCAGGATCTTTGTATATATTATATATAGGTATGTTTTCATTAGTATACACCGATCTGCCGTAACATTATGACCACCTGCCTAATATAGTGTAGGTCACCCTTTTGCCGCCAAAACTATCCTGACACGTTGAGGCATGGACTCCACTAGACCTCTGAAGGTGTGTTGTGGTATCTGGCTCTAACATGTTAGCATCAGATCCTTTAGGTCCTGTAAGTTGTTAGGTGGATAGAACTTGTTTGTCCAGCACATCCCACAGATGCTTGATTGGATCTGGGAATTTGGAGGCTGATTCAACACCTTGAATTAATTGGTTCAGGAATGGTTTGATGAACACAACCTCAAACCATTCCTGAACCATTTTTGCTTTGAGGCACGGCGCATTATACTGCTGAAAGAGGCCACTGCCATCAGGGAATACCGTTTCCATGAAAGAGTACATGGTCTGCAACAATGCTTAGGTAGGTATGTGTCAGAGTAACATCCACATGAATGGCATCGCCAAAGTATAACACTGCCTCTGCCAGCATGCCTTCTTCCCATAGTGCATCCTGGTGTCATGTGTTCCCCAGGTAAGCAACGCACATGCACCCGACCATCCACAATATGTAACAGAAAACAGGTTTCATCAGACCAGGCCACCTTTTCACATGCCTGGTCCGTTCTGGCTCCTGCCATTGTGCTTTTTGAGGGTCAGCTGACTGGTCCGCGCGATGCACTCCCATACCTGACACCTTTCTATTAGAACCAGCATTAACTGTTTCAGCAGTTTGAGCTACAGTAGCTCGTCTGTTGGATCGGACCACACAGACCAGCCTTTGCTCCCAAAGTACATCAAGGAGCCTTTGCCCCCCATGTCCCTGTCTCCGGTTCACTGCCTTTCCTTCTTTGGATGATTTTTGATAGGTACTGACCACTGCAGACCGGGAACCCCCCACAAGAGCTGCAGTTCTGGAGATGCTCTGACCCAGTCGTCTAGCCATCACAATGTGGCCCTTGTCAAAGTTGATCAAATCCTCACACTGCCCATTGTTCCTGCTTCTAACACATCAACTGGAGGACAAAATGTTCACTTGCTGCCTAATATATCCCACCCACTGACAGGAGCCATGATAACCAGATAATCAGTGTTATTCACTTCACCTGTCAGTGCTCATGAGTGTGAAAATAAGAATTGTTGTGTTTTTGTTACCGTAGAATGAGCTGTTTTTTCTGCAGACACCGTGGGTTGCCTTTCGTGGTGGCCACCATGTTTCTAGAGTAAGCTTTAAAGGACAAACCAAACACTGGCTCTAGATGGGACTGTTTGCGTTATTGCAAGTTGCGCAGCCACTCTGGTTGATCCCTCGCGCTTGGAAAGGGAGGGTGAAGCGAGTGAGTTGCAATCTGCAAATACACCACTACATGCCACTAAATCCGATACACTGGACCTTTAAATGAAATAGAATTCTCAAAAATATAATACTCACTGAACCCATCAAACAGTGCTGAAAAAAAGGCCTTAATGGTGACCCACACTACTGTATTTCTTCCTGTTTGAATGTTTGCTAATACCTGACTAACTAAAAGTGCCCAGATGTTTTAGAAATTTACTGAGCCTTGAATTGTGTTTTCCTTTAACCCATAAACAGTCGGGCCTGCTCAGAATAGTTTGTACCAAATTAATTGAAGTGTTTGTCACTGTTCAAGACTTCTTGTTTGACTTCAGGTCAGAGCAGTCCAGACGAGACTCAACGAGTCCTTCTTTTTCAAGACAAAAGGAGAAGGGCTGTCGCCCAGGCCGGAGTCTCCACTGATGAAACTTGCTCAGGGCAGAGACGTGAAGAGCAGGAAGGGCCACTGAGGTCTTATGGAAGGATGGAAATGAAGGTTTCTGGACTTGCAGGCAGCGACTGACACGGTCTCATTTTTTTTTTTGTCTGAAACAGTATTTAATGTATTGACTTACAGAGCAGCCAGGTATCAGATTAACAGTTAAAATAGATACTAAAACTCAAGCTGGATGTTATTAGGAATGAAAAGAGAAATTAAAAAATGCAGTCACCTTTAACAGTACGAGACATTGTGTCCCAAAATGAACTTATGGAGAAAAAAAAATCATTAATGATGGCTCTATGTATTTATCAGTTGTTGTGAGTTTTCTAGTTGGACTTTCCTATAATGTTGTTAGTGTAGGCGGGGTTAAGGTGCACACAGGTTCAAATGTCAGTTTTAGTAACAGCTTTTTGAATGTTTTCAGTAAAATATGACATCAAATTGCTGTTCATGGCTTTGCTCGTTGTCTGTTCTGCATGAAAGCAAGTCTGTTAGTTAAAGTTTATTTATTACAAAGAGACAGTGGTTTACTTACTGTGCAATTTGTAAGATAAACTGTCTGATACTGAACAGTGTTTTTCCAAATTACCTCAGTGAAGTTTCAGTATTAAGCTATCTTCATTAATTTCACCTCCACAGCAATGTAGCAATGTAATTTGTCCCGACAGATACAAATAGTTAATCATCCATTTGTGCTCCAACAATGAACTGCATTAAGGTTCAGGATTAACACAAGATAACTTGGAGCATCACATTGTACCGACCAAATGTTCAGGATTTACTTTAATACTTTGAGATGTATGAAACTTGTCAACAGGGGCTTGTTTTGTAGCTGTTGTGACTGTAACATATTATCATTCTGTCTTTTAAGCAAGCCAACTACCAGTATTCAAAAGAAAATAAACCTTTATTTATATTTGTTGCCAGTTATTACACACAGTAGCCCTACACCTTAAAAAAAACCAGTATGAGCATTAAAGCAAAACTCCACCTATGGTTACTCCCAGAACTGACTTCTTTTCTTCTTTTCAAGTGTTTGTGAAGAAAGCAACACTTTCTGCTATTAAACTACATTGTAGCTGAGCTGGTAATGTGCTGATGTCAAACAATCTATTTGTACATTTTATTAACCCACAACAAAATGGAAGAAATGCAAACACCTACAGATGATTTAACTGAAGTGTTTTCAGGTGGATTTTATCTTTAACGGGGTCAGAACAGTCTAGTTGTGTCTAAAGAGCTTGATCCCCATCCAGCTCCAGAGGTGGAAGAAGACGTAGACGGGGATGGTGACCGGCAGCAGCAGGCTGTAGAAACACAGACTGCTGCTGCTGGTGCAGCCTTGAGGGAAGTTCTCATCCACCGCAGCAGAGTAGAACAAACCAAAGAGAGACACTATCGGGATGAGCCCCACCATCACGGACAGGGAGAACATAGTTGCAGATGGGTTCTGATACAGGCTACCTCTGTATGTATGGAGTAAATAAATATCTGAGGTGATATATTACATGTACTTTAAACTAGTTCTCACTGTGCAGCAATACAGTATGTAACCAGAGCAGAGCAGGATCCAGCTGCAGGGTTACACAACCACTGTGTCGTTCAGTCCAACAGCCTTTACAACACGTTAGGTCTGCTTGCTTGGGTCAGCTGACGGCGTTGTGATGACTTTCTACCCTTGCGTTGGTGTGGTTGAGGTGTCCGTGTCTTTCTGTATGAGTCGGGCTTCCTGAGGGATCATGTTGGGGATGCCACCAACGATGGGATAGGCGATACCGAGCTCCTCGTTGATCAGCTCATTGGTTTTAGCCTCGTACCTGGGGAGGGACAAGAGCAACATAATTCTTCTACAGTGCACTCTGTTCTCAGTAACACTGATGCCTTCACTAGTCATCTTTTTTTTCAGTCTCTAGCTCAGAAAGCTTGTTTCACCCCTGTGAAGTTCACTGTTTTAGTACATTGTAAAATATAATTCCCACATTACATTAAAAAAATACCCACTGACCGCAATTAAGACGTCGCCATAAAGCAGAAAGGATCTTATCCTCAATCTAATCAACTCACAATTCAACTGGTTGCCATTTGTGCCCCAATACTGCCATCTAGTGGTGACTTTGGAGAACACCCCACATTAAATACAAAGCAGGTCGAGTGGGTTTCACCTCAGAACCTGATGGAAGTAGCACCAAAATGTAAACGCCTTAAAACATTGAAAGTGTACCTGTTAACAGGGGATTTTCTGTTGTCTTAAGACGTATTAATGTGGAGGTCGAACTAGGTCCAATCCGCGTGCATTCCTACTCATGAAATGTTGCGTAATTATCTTCATGGTTATATTTATGCATACTAAGGTAACAGGTATGTGAGCCCGCAGGCTGGGCCTAAAGTACACAAGTTAGGTACATTCATTTTTCGTGTCAACAAAATAAAATACAGTATATATTATGTTGGTAGGCTTTTAGGCCAGTGCCTTCAATGGTGACTTTACTACACACTGCACAATAACATCTACATTTAGTATTAGTATAGCATTAGCATTAGTATTACAGATGGACTCTGTTGAAGCTTTAGCTGCGTTTGAAGCTTCGACTCTTTTTTTCCGACACAAATAGAAAAACAACTCGGAAGGTCTTCCTCCCGTTGCCCCGTGTATCTGTCTCACCTCAGCGGCTTCTTGGACAGCGGACAGACGAGGAACTCGAGCAGGGAGGCGTCGAAAGGCGGCTGCACTTCGTCCTTCACGTCCGAGAAGCTCCTGAACGGCGCGGAGGAGGCGGAGGAGGCGGCGGCGGCGGTCAGCCTCTGTATCACCGGCGCTCTGCTCACACAGCGGTGGACACCAGCTGTTTCTGTCACCAAACTACACAAAACATTCCGAAACATGACCAAACCCCAGACCAACGAGATCACGAAAACTGCCAGACAGGAAGCACCTGCACAGACACCGTGTAACCGAAATATGAGTCCCCTTCCTGTACACTTACAACGGTACTCCTTAGTTCCGCTTATCGAGCAACCCGCTTTCACAACATTATTATAAGACCGGTTCAACTGCTTATCCCTTAAACTGTTTAGGGTTTTATATATAATTTATTAGCTGTATTAGTTAATTCAGGTATACATATGAGTTGGTTGTTTCTACATTAGTCCGCATGGTGGCAGTGTTGCACTGTTTAGCTCAGTATAGATAACCTCGGCTGTGATTTGACCATAATGTGGAACCACAATAATTATTAAAAAAAGAACATTGCATTCATTTGGTCAGCTGGACCACAATAGACACTGTTTGAACTGTGGTTTCATTTAAGCCCAAAGACAGCCTGAACTTGATTTCCCAGCAGGTTCTATACAATATTAAATATTGTCAGCCCTGTGCCAGCCGGAGCAGAATGCATTCCCACATCCATATGGCTGAAGATATTGCTCTGAGACTTTCTTGGCAGGGCCCCAACTTGTTTTAAAACTGCTTCTAGCTGTAATATATCCCACTGCTCGGTACATGACAGACCTGCTAATATAGTTTTTTTTTTTTTTCTGTAGCTGCCAGGCCTTGAATACACTATGTGTGGCTCTGTAGCTGTGTACCTTCTTTCATTGGGTCTGTTTACTCATGAGAGGTATCCATCATCTCTGACATATTCCAGGGAGCACTGGGGCTGAAATAATACTGAAAGAGGACAAATGTGTTCAAGCCAGAATGTATTGCAATGTACTGTAGCACAAATGATTAAGTGACTGGCTGATGCTTAAGTGGAAACTATAGTATTCAAAATAGACAATTACAGTTACATACTTGAGTTACAGTGAATGCAACAGTAGTTATCACACCAAGGCCATTAAACAATGTTATTTTCTGCAAATCACATATTTATCCTAACACACAAGCTGGATCATACTTGAGCCAATTTCAGGCCAAAAAAAAAGAGCTGTCTTATGTATACTGAGGAACATCTGGACACGACCAGCCAGCCACTGAAAGTCCTGATGCTCTGATCTAATTTAACACAACATTGCTCTTGACGTGCTGATGAAGTTTCACAGTGGTGATGAGAGAGATAATAGGAGGAAGCATTATCTATGCCAAGAAAGATTAGACTGGATAACTCTGTTTTAAGACGTTTTTTTATATGGTGAGCCAAAAAGATACAGGAACTTTTATACAGTGTTTTGTTCCAGAAGGGAGAACACCTCTGATAAAAATCACTGATATTTGTAGTAACATAAATTGTAAAAAGCCCAGTCTTGGGAAGTATAACTTGTTCAACAGTACAAACTTTGCTTCAATTCACACAATATGAACCACATAATGAGGATAGGAAGAAAAAAAAATCCAATATAATTATTTAACATTTCTGTTTTTAGCGGCTTTTGACAAACACCGTTTCCCACGAGCCCAAGGCGTTTGTGGTTTAAACGTCACCAGAATGTCAGAAGACGTGACAGAAAATGAGACAGGGAGGGCAGAACAGTGTATATGCTTTCAGACAGCAGAGATTACAGCTGAAAGTTTAAAGATGACATTAGAAAAGGGCATTGTTGGATCTGTCATGGATATTGCTGTATTTACGCCATATTGTTTTGACTATAATTACAAGCAGCCGAGTGAGAAAAAAAAGAGTTGTCAGCCCCCCAGTTAAAATTCTGAGATATTGGGAATTTCTGACAGTTACTTTCTCCCACCTGACAAAAATAACTACATAAACGTCAACGGTTGGCAAAATGAATGCAAAGCCAACGGTGTTAGCGGTTTCATCTAAATAATATACAATATCATCACTGTTACAACCAATTGAGCTTATTAAAAAGGAAACGTACGTTGTGTCTCTTTGTGAATTCACTTGTTAAGGAGCCACCACTGTAGGCTAGAGATATGTAACACAACACAAGTAGCTAATTGCTCTTAGCTTTTCTGTCAAAATTGTATGAATGTGGCTTAAAGGACAAACTAATAGATGTATTTTGTGCCCTGGGAGCTGTACCTTTTTGTTTGTATGCTACATTGTTGTGTCACTTTGTTAAGACTGCTATCATCATGTTAAAGTTCGTAGTGGTGCTCGCATTAACAAACCCACAGGCCAACCCACTGTACACTACCTGCTCAGCACCAAACAGCAGGCTGACAGAGTTAGAAAACTAGCCGGTGAACATAGTGGAGCATTTAGCAGCTAAAGAGAAAGATATTCACAGGAGCTTGTGGAGATCAAAACAGAGCTAAACGGAGGGTGGATATTTTACACATTAACACTAAAATGAATGTTACGTATCTGCTGGACCTGTAAATAAGCCATTGCTTGCCATATGAAAAGGCCATTTTATGTCAGTGTTGTCTTTACAGCTTGTTTCTGTTGCCACCATGTGGTCAAAAAATCAGCTAATGCAGATTTCTAATATCGAATAGCAACCTGCACGGTAGGTGGATGCTGACCCAAGCATGACTGTGTGAATCACTGCTTTGGTTTGATGGGTTGATGTCAGTGATGCACACCAGAGTACAGTAACTGAGGACAGTTCTGGTTTCAAGCCAGTGGTCGCAGTGTCTCTACTAATATCTAAAAAATATTAAAAAACTTGACTGGGAGTCTGATCGAACAAGGCTCCACACTTCTGCAGAGACAGCACAGCCCTCTCACCAACAGGCGGCTCGGACTTGGCAGGGAAGTTGGCGGGTCCCTGCCAGGGTTGTTACAACACTAATAACTTCTAAGCTTTCTGGGCACGGAAAAGGATCTCTCATAATCTCTCTGCCATCAACACAAATGCTACTCTGCACTCTCACCAGCAATGTTGCCCTAAATTGGCTCGGTGCGTCAGACCTTCATGGATGTGTGCACAAGGCCCGTGTCCCAGTTTGGGAGATTGTTTATGTGTTATATTTTCCATCCATGGTGTGTTTTCTGTGTGCAGGAGATCCTTAGAGACAGTGAAGTGATACAAACTTCACAGCAGCTTCTTTTCAGCCTCTCTGTAGTTCCCTACAAGTGGGAGAAAGAGCCGTGCTTGGAAGGCAGCGGCTCGGCGCGTCGCGCTCTCAGCAACAGAGCGTGGGGCTTTTTTGCGTAGCCCGTCTTTTGACAGGTTCTTCATCAAGCCCACTCCTCCCAGTGATGTTTGACAGAGTTTTCATCAATCACACACCTCTGCTGACCCTCTCAGAGCCGCTCACCTGTGCACAGATACAAGCGTTCTCTGTGAAGACTTCTTAGACCGCTTCAGGCTGTGTTTTTCAGGTTTGCTCTCCTGGTTTGTATTGAGGAGATGTCTTCAAGAGGCAGGAACAGTGACAGACTTGACAGAGCTTTCACAGCCTGGTGGTGATATCTGATTCCTCTTTTATTTTTCCTATTTTTTTCTCTGGGCAACTGTCATGGTGAACGGACTGAATTCTGTATGTTTCATAGTGATAGAGTGAATCCGACAAGGCTGCACACCTTTCTACAGGCTTTCACTGCATAATAGAATATTTCCACTGATTAGTCTAATTACCACTGACCCATATACAGAGTTTATGGTAATACCAAATTAGCCCCCCCCCAGTTTCCACTCTATTATCAAAGTAAAAGCCTTCATTTCCACATTTTATTATCTCATCTTGTTTGTAGGTGTCCACTTACAAGGCCATTTCATACCTGCCTCAGGACCCAGCAAGCTGAAGTTATGTTTCCATAACTGCAATGATAACTAACATTTAAAATGTTATCTCTGCTCTGCACACAGAATTAGAATAAAAAATATTAAATTCATGTATTCTTGAGTTCCTTATATGTGGCCCGCAGGACCTTATCCCACAAAATGAAAATCTTCTTGCGAAATTGAATGGCGCATGGGAATTCAATGTCATCCCATTCTGAGTTTGAGTTCTGATCGTTTCTCTGCTGAGCGTAGGTTTTATCCAATTAGAAACAGGAGATTAGTCTTTTTTCCTGCCAGGAGAGCTTTCATTTCCATGCTGAAATATTGCTGATGTAGCATTTGCTGCTTAATCTGATAATCAGATCCCCAAGGACTTCCTTCCCCTCCCGCCTTTCTTGTCTCCCATGCACCCTTAATCCTCCTCTCTCATGGCCTTCCTCTTTCTGCACTCCTTATCATCTCTGTTTCTACTCTTCTTCCCCTGCACCCCGCTTGGCTTTTTTTCCCCCATTTCTTCCTCGTCTCCTTTCCTCCCACACCCCTTCCCTCTTTCAGTCAACACATTCTGCTGCCAACAAAGATAAAAAGCTAAGCTCTTGCTAATGCACCTGATTGATGGACAGGCACAGATCCAATGAAGCGTTGCCCTTCAATTAGGCCTCCGTGGTCACCTGGCAACAGTGTTAACGAAGTGTACCCTTCAATTAAGTCTCAGCGGATTGCTCAGCAGACGCGTGAGCCAATGAGGCGTGAGCAAAGGTTGACGCTGCATCATTACCGCTCCCTTCAAGGCCTCGGAGTGCCTCGCTGGCTTTAATCACTCAGTCGCCGTTTAGTGCTACGCTGTTGCACGGATGTGTGTGTGTTTATGATTGTGCATGCCCATGGCTCATTGGATGTGCCAGGTTTACAATGCCTTTGATGTTATGAAAGGCTATGAGACTTGTTTATGAGGTGTTCATGGTAACTCCTCCAAACAATATAGGTGCAGGGTTTCAGCTTTTATGGCGAGTCATCCATGGAAATGCTTTATCACTTATAGAGACAAAGCATAAAGCTGTTTTGATGCCTGGGCATGCATCACTGTAATCCTGTAAGAAGGCACTGCGTTACAGGATGGATTCCTCTTTAGTGAAGATGCATCCTCTCTATAATGGTATCTATTAAAAGAGGGGGAGGCAGCGGGGGAGACGTGAATTAAAGATAAGGAAGGAAGAGGTCTGAGTGAGAAGGAGTGAGAGGAAGAGGGAGGGACAGCAGAGATGATAATGACAGAGGGGATGAGTGGGACTGAGAGAAAGAGAGTCCACCCAGTTCCTCAGTGGGCTAACAAGAGAGTAGGATGTTGCCTGGAGGTGATAATTAGTGTATCCTCAGAGGCTGCAAGGTTGCAGAGGCCCACACATCTGCCCCCAGTTCAGTTGAACTACAGAGGACACCAGAAGGAGCTTACTGTTTCTTTAAATTTGGTCTGCAGTGTTTTCCCCAGAGTTTTATGCTCGTCTGGGTGGAAAATCTTTAGAGCATTCAGACCATCATGAGAAGCTCAAAGCCTCCTAGACGGGTGGCATTTTTTTAGGTTTAGCAGCTCTTATGAGTCATGCACATATTCTGGGAAATTTCAGGACTTCATTTTCAGCAAGTCACGTCTCAAGTTGACAGAGACAAATCCAAGTCAAATCCTGAGTCTTGTCAATGCAAAGCTCAAGCCAAGTATCAAGTCTCTAATGGCAATTCACAAGTCAGTTGTGATAACTGCAAATGAAATAACAAGCCTCGTCAAAGGAGGTCTCGAGGCAAGTATCAAGTCCCTGAGAGCAAGTCTAAATCAAGTCTCAAGTCCTTTCAAAGTCTTGAGTCCAAGTCATTTGCGACAAGTGTAAATCAGGTCCCCAGTCCTGTCAAAGAAAGTCTCATGTCAATTAAAACAAGTCTAAGCCAAGTCTTGTCAAAGGCTTAGCAGCTCTGTAATGCAAAGGGACTCACACACCTTTTTTGGGAAAGTTCAGGGGTAAAGGGGACCTTTAAACAGAGCTTTTGGAATCCAAGTCAAGTCTTAAGTTGATCACGACAAGTCCTAGTTTAGTCATATCAAAGCAGGACTCAAGTCAACTGAGACAAGTCCAAGTTAAGTCTCAAATTAGTTAAAAATAATTCCATGCATAGTCTGAACTCTTGTTAAATGAAGTCTAAAGCTAAGCTTCAAGTCCTTGATGGCAAATCAAGGCAGAAGTCTTTTTAAGGAAATTGCAAGTCAACAGAAAGTTTTTCATGTCTCTGAATGTTGACCATTAACAGCATGACTTTTTTCTTTCAATAGTGTTTGCAAATGGCTGAGACAATTCCTTTTAATCCTTTGAATAGTTACATTTTGTGTTTGGCTATGTACTGTCTGTCTCTGTCTCATTTATGTTCTATTATTCTGGGATCTTTCCAGTTTAAAACTTGAGACTTGAATGTCTTTTCAAAGGAGTCCAGTCCAATTTCACAGCAGTCTTCAATTTTGTGACTTCAGTCTGAGTCAACATATGTGCCTTTAAAGAAAGAACTGATGTAAAAACGCCTACAGACATTTTTAAATGTGTACAGTGTTACGGCCGCCGCTGGCTGTCATTTAGTGTATATTCATTGTGGTGTTTCATGTGATTCCCTGTTGAGGATTGGTCCTTCTGGAGCAGAGACCGCCTACTTCCTGGTTGCTGTCCCCTGGCATCAGTGATTGGTGTGGCTGCAATTCCACTGAAGCTACCAATCAGGAGTCTTCAATCAACCCCAGCTGCACTTAAATAGCTTGTGTGTCCACAGTTCAGGGCGGCTGTGAACTAGTGATCAGTTCGCCTTGCTGTTGGTTGCGCACCATTGTGTTAGTTTAGAGTGTCTGTACTTTCTAGTATTGCCTGGCTGTTTTCTGAGTGGATTCAGCCAGTGCCTTTGTAATCTTTTGTGACCTTTTAAGTTGCTCAATAATTGCTAGTTTGGTTTTTGTTCACTAGTTTGTAAGCTTATGGGTGCTGATCTCTTTTTGTTCTTCAGTGTTATCCAGTCATTTTCATTTTGTGTACTAGTTATTTGTCAGCACCTGTATAGCCTCTCTTATGTTATATTTCATTGTGCAAGCACACTCTCCTTAGTTAATTAAAACACCTGATTTTAACCTGAACCTGTCAATTGTTGTATTCCATCTCTTTTCCAATTCCAATTGTATGTTACCGCTCTCCAAATCGAGCTGGGTCGTAACAACAGGAACTGAACTTTCATTAGAACATTCATAGATGGTTTTTTTAGGTCTCATTAAAGATTCCCTCCAGACATGTATTAAGACATGTATACAAATAATTTGCTTGCAACAATAATGTGAGTATATTCTTCACAAAAAAAAGTATAATTTGCACATAAAACCCTTAAAAACTTGTGTACTCCTTCTACCTCATTAAAACTTACTGTATCTATGGATTGCAAATTCTGTTCATTGTTTTATTTATGTCTCCTAGTTCACTGTAAAGTCCATTCTCAGTGTATGTGCACTCGTGGCTTCAAGTTTCTACACAATACAAGTTGCATACTGGACTGGACTAAATCTACAATTCAAATACATTTGTGATATACAACTTTGATATCAGAAAGTTTGTCAACCTATAAAAATAAAGAAAATGAATATGCATCAGTTGTTTTTGTTGCTCCCACATATAAAAATAGTGTTAAAATGAGAGCCATAGTTATTAAAAGCTATCTGAATATGTGAAGTTTAATCGGTAACACAGTGGAACACATTCACCATTTCATAATGAGATTACTGTAAATCCATTACAGTGAATGCTTTGCCCCCAACGCCGGTAGCGCTTTGGAAATCATGAATCACACTTAGAATCCAATTCTGTTTCATTTCCTCGTTGTAAAATGGTGACATAAATTGTGAGATGTGTGCATCTCTGTATGTGTGCATATGTGCATGTAAATGACTGCTTTTATGAGACAGTGGGAGAATAAACAGCAGCATTACTGGGATTGATGTTAGCGGTGCTCAGAGAGTGCCATCTCATACATGTTTCATGATGCCTAACTCCAAGTTCAGCAGAGACGCAGACACTCAGGGAAATGCCTGTGCTACTGTTTAGTGACCTGCATCTTTAAAGCCAATGAAAAATTTAGTAGACACAGGCAAACAACTCTGTAAGGACACAGGTTGAATGGGACTTCAATCATTTTAGATCTAATTTTGATTAGATGCACTGTACAATGTTTTCTCTCTTCACCTGCTTTAAAATAAGATGGTTGTGGTAGAAATTTCATTCAATTCCATTTTGTTTTACTGGATGACATCAATCTTTCTTTTATTAAAGTTCCCCTCCTCTCAAAAAATCTGTTTCTCTCATGGTTTCTACAGTGTAATGTCTGAATGCTGTCTGTGCAGAGTTTGACACTAGAAGGTTTTCACATTCATCTGCTGAAAGTGGAAAGTTTTTCTGTGCTCATTGAAAATCAGATTTTAAGTGGCTGGGCTTCCCCTTGAAATCAATGAAACAAGACAGTTGAAACACTACCGCTTTTGGTAGGCGTTTGGCTCCACAGGGGACAACACAAAATGAAAGTTCCTTGTTGCTGCTCCCAATTTGAGGTACTTGTACCTGCAGCATAAGCTTCTTTATTCTTATTCTTCTACCACATTTTAGAGGGAAATACTTTTACATCACTTTTACATGCCAGATTATAAATACAGAGACCTCATTTTAAAGTGTGATATTGTTACTTTTACATGCGTAAAGAATGTGATTACTTCTTCCATCACAGGCCTTTAATATGTAATATGTATGTATGCCAGTTGCTAATCCACCATATGTGGACAAACAATATGTTTTAGCATTCTACACACAGCAGAGGTGAAAAGAGACGGTCACACAGGACAAGTTTTGCCATTGTCATTTTTTACTGTTGGTACTTATAAATATCCAGTTTAAATACACTAATAAAATAGCTTGGACATTTTCATGACTTGATATATTAACAGCTTCCCAAAAATTGAGATACTTTTAAGATTTCAGGATCTACAAACCTGAGCCACAAAAAGAACAGAAGGTCAACAGAAGGTTTGGTAACAGATGCTACACAGTAGCCGATAGAAGACATACAGTTCCATAAGTTACCACTGCTTCATCACTGTTATTGGCACCTCACTAGGCTGTGATTGAAAAAGAAAACCTTTGAATACATAATAGCCAGATTAATAATGAATCGGTTCATCCTGTTTTTGTGTTGAATTATTGATAAAGATTGTTGAACGCCAGGGCTTTGAATAATTGGGAGATTGATAGCAAAGCAGTTATATTTAATTCAAAGCTTTTCAGTGTAACTTTTGGAGATCTGTAAATGTGGAGGCAATGATTTAGCAGTCGTATATGTAAGTGTCAAATCAGCAAAAGCACAATTTACTCATACAGAAAACATACATCCAGACACTCAAATATCTCAGTCACAAATGCCCAGTCTTGTATCTCTGTACTAGGTTGCCCCATCGTGCGCTCAGAATTGATTCTGAACTCAACATAGACCCACATGCATGTCTTATATTAAATAATTACATGTCTTTGGGCACCAAAATTTGGGGATTTACTGAATGTGGAAAAGAGAAGAAGGTACTCCTCTTTTTTGTTAGTTCACAATTGTTTTCTTTTTGTTTCTCCCTATGGTTAGCTGCAGATTTCAGATAAATGTCAGTTTACCTGCTCACAGTCCCATTTGTGGAATTATTAACCAGTGAACATCCATTATTAAAAGCATTTATAGAACAAAACAAATAACAACAAATAATAGAGCACACATTTACACACACACACACACACACACACACACACGCGCACTCACCAGTGTGTTAACCAGTTCAAGGATGCAGCAGCAGAATTTTAAAGGAAAAATCCTTCCTTGGACACTCGTCCACTGTCTGATACCATCCATCTGTTCAGGATGATATAACATCCATCTGCTGTGTTCAATCCATTCCTTTTATGTTACTCATCATCTGATTCTACTTCTGCACAATTCAGCAGTGATGTCCTACATTTCCCAGCATACCCTTTAACAACCCACACAGAAGGCTAGCAGGTTGGACCTCGAACTGTTGGTGCACTCTGGCTGTCCACAACATCTCATCTAGTTTACCACCAAAAAGTTGCACACTAACACACAACAAAGCAGTAAAAACAGTGGTAAACTCAGGCAATTTTTATGATACTAGACTTTATGTGTTATGCTTTAAGGATAATTTGGTTTATTACAACCTGGCCATTAATTTTTGTAATTTTGGCCAAAGTATGTATTAGCTAAGATTTTACTCACTAAAGTCATTAGTGAGATCGATGTCGCCCAGAAGAAAGGTCATGAACACTCTGTTACGACCTTTACCATTGACATTTTATGTATTATGTATTCATCCTGGTCAGTCCAGAACCCCTACCGATACTACTGAAACCAATTTATTTGTAGGTAAAACTGAAAGTAAGTGTACCTGAAATGTTGGTAATTATTCCATATTGCACAGATGTGTGCCTGCACAACTGCAGTTAGCACGGTAGGTCATATTTGAACCAGGAAGTTGATCTGCAAACTGTGATAGATGTTTACAACCATACATATATTTACACCTACACCAAAAAAGAAAAAAACTTCATGCTGGCTCAGATTGTATAAGTAAAAATGGATGTAGTCTCTGTGATATCACTAATAGGCTTCTGAAGAGCCTTTGTGAAGCTCAGTGTGGTTGGCTGTGGCCATCACCATCTACACAGTCATGAGTCCGCCGGTTCCGGCTTATCTAAAAGTGGGCAAAGACGTGCAGCATGGGTGGAGCTGAGGTGGCCTGAATGAAGCCTGGTTAAAGAAAACAGCCACCTGTGATGGCAACCACCTGTTCCTTAAAGCAACCGTGCCCTTAATTATGCATAACTATAAGCCTTGATATAATTTAAATGGGTGAGTTATATTAACATTCACCCCTGTACAGTTGTCATGAAAGGGGGAATTTAGCTAGAGACTACAATTGCTTTTTGTACCAGGTTGTAAAGATGTTTATTTCTGCTGTAAAGTTAGGTATTTTACTATGGTGTCTTATGGAGACACTCACTTCTGGAGCCAGCGTCGAGTGGCCATGTACACATGAATGGCCGCCAAAAATCCCATCTTTGCAGCTTGAGTAGTAAATCTTAAATTTTCTCTTCCAAATAATTCTAAAATAGTTTTGATTAAACCCTGTTTGACATCTGACCATTGATGTTGATGTGTTTGGTCATTTTTAATCTTACCTTGGTTAGTTCAATGTTACTATTACTGATAGAAATGATGGCCAAAACACCAAAAATAAGACACGAGTTGTAATAAACCAGAATCATCCTTTAAATGTATATGTATTTCCAGTTAATATATCCATATAACTTGAATTTATACATTATAATTTGTGCAATTGATTGGAGCATCCTGCATGTAGTGATGAACAGGTTCAGGCTGCTGATGAGGACAGGAAACATTGTTAGACTTTGGAAGGGCCTTTACTTCTTTGTAAACACGACTTAGTTATGCAGCCATTATCCTACAAGGATCATGGATCATCAATATGGAACGTCTTCTTGGCTGAGGTTATGGACAGAGTCAGCCTTAGGTCTTGAAATCCAAAAGGAGGACTTTAAAGGTAGGAGGAGACCCCTGAAATAAATATCTGATCTTTAGTTTTTACTCGGTTAAAGCTCCTGCACATCCATTTTACACCCATGCAGGCATTTTCAATATTTTATAGATTTTTATACATCTTTTCAGGACTGTTTGGGAGTTAAACTAATATCTTGTTGTTGTTTTATTATACCTGTTATAGAAGGACCACTACAGCTTTTTGAAGATACAGTGTTTGATGAACCCAACATAAAACATTTTACAGAAAACCAAACAACTAAAAAAGGGTGGATGTTTCCTTTAACTGTAATATCAGCCCTCTGTCAACATTAGATGTGATGTGGCAGCGTTCACGTCACCCACCCTCTGCTCTGAGATCACATATTGCCCAACTCTTTGCCTGCTTATGTTGGACTAGTTTGCTTGCCTTGAAATCAGACTTGGGATGGGGCTCTTGAGGTGTGCTTCATCCTCTGCAACCCCAACATTGTCAACATTACTTTCCTTCTTTCACAGAGGTTTGCTTAAATACATCAAAGCTGCATGAGCCCGAGGGGTGTTATGTGCTGGTGTTACAGGAGCCAGGAAGTCTGAAATCTTCTTTTCCGGATGAATCTCCTGCTCTGTTTCTGAAACCACAAGTATGGCGCCTGCCAGCAAGATCGACAGCTCAGCTTCTGATCAAATTAATTCCAAAGCACTCTGAAACTTCGGAGGGATAGAGTTTCTATCAGAGTGCCATTTTAAATCACTTGGTGGTTACTCTCCATCGCACTCTCACTTTTCTGTGATACTGAGGGAATCCACAGCATCTGTCCTCCTTGCACTCTTAGTAAAGTGGTGGGTAATAACTCAAAACCTGTCTCCTCCACATCATTTTTGTGACAAATCAACTAGTTTGCGTTGTACAATTGCTAGATTTTTCCAGAATGAGTGCAGTCCCTCAACTTGCATTTCTCTCTCTGCACACAAACATATTGAAACCATGCTCACTCAATTTGTTATGGTGATTGTGCGATGAGACTAAGGGAGCACAGGCCCTATCTTAAACTGTGGATGGGGAACCAAAATACATCACAGGACTGCTCCGGCAATAACCAGAGTGCTTACATGATTTCATGAGCCTGTCCCCTGGAACAAGTGACTATATTTCTCATTTCGATTGCAGAGTGGGAAGTTTTAAGAGCCCTGGCTCCATCTGTGAGTGTCTCTTCTCTCAGGTCATTGGTATAAAACGGTTATTACGTTACTGATGGTCCATGTCTGATTGAAGCACATCTTTCCCTGTGCAGATTCTCGTTAAAAATAGGTCCAGTATTGAATCTCATTTTTTGGACACTTAGTTTGCTGCTTAGGTCAGCATGTTAGTCCATTTCTAACTGGACTCTCATTCTTTTTAAGTGCACCAAAACTCTGTGATGGTCGATCTTGGGTCTGGGTCAATTTCAGTTTGAAGTGGGGGGAGTTCCTTACTTGAACTTCCTCACTTACTAGATTAGTCCATCACAACAAAGGTGTTCCAGTAGCTGACTGTTGTCAGTGTGTTCACTGTGGCAGGACAGTCAGTATGTTAGTGATGGTCCATTTCTGATCGGTGCAGTCCTGAATGGCCAGCTGGTAGGTGAACTCTGACTGTCTGCTCTCCACCAGCTCCAGACATCGCTGAGACTCGAGGTTCTGGATGGAGCCACCCTAAAGGGAACAAGAGACAGAGGGGGTGAGTGAGATTTACAGTATACAAGCAATAAGCACAACAAGGTGAGACAAGTGAAGAATGCTACTCCATTTGGTGTTGCATTCCGCCTGCTAAATCCATTATTCCAGAGATCGATACACATCTGAGTGCATGAATATGCCATTATTATTGTTTAAAAAATAATAATATTTTTTCTTGTTCCTACAATGTGATGATTGATATTCACTGTGCAGAATTCTGTTTGTGCAGAGTTTGACACTAGAAGGATGTATTCACAATCATCTGCTGAAAGTATCTCTGCGCTCATTGAAAATCAAATTTTAAGAGGCGCCATTGGCCTGGGTTTGCTATAGTAAGAGCTTGACCCGCATCGATCCTGACTTGTTGCCAGTCACGGACCACGATGGAGAGCACTTGATCCACCTCGGCCATTCGTGCAATGGTCAAGTACTGTCACATTCATTGATATTGATGCAGAACTGTGAGTTTTGACCTATTATTCTACAGTCCACGGTATTGCTAAAAAAGTAAGCAACAAAAGCACTGGACATTTAATACTCACTTGCTCTACCTCAGAAAAGGAAGAAACTGTTGCTACATTTACACATGCACGCACACCCATATTTAATTAATTAAGGCATTTTGCATTTTTTTGACTTTGCAACTCAAGCACTTGTCGTATTTCATCTGACTTTTATAGTTATCACACTACACTGACTCTTACGTTCCATTTTTTTCACTGCATGCACTTTAAAAATCTTGTTATTTGTGCTATTTACCCCAGTTTTTACAGTCATTTGAGTAGTTTCACGTCAAGGCAGCTATCCCAGTCATACCGTTACTAATCTGTGTTTTTCACTTCATGCACTTTTAAAATTGTGTGTATTGTGGTATCTATATGATCATAAAACATTTGATGGTCTTGTATTGATGCAGCAACATCCATGTGCATACTGTCTATTGCAAAGGTCTGATATGCAGAAGGGGTTCTCTTCTAACTAAATTATGAACAAAAATAATAAAAATAAATAATAATAGAAACAGTTTAAAAAGTGGTAATCAAAGTAAAATAAAATAATACAAAATAAAATGTAACTAAATTAAATAAAAATAAAAAATCATGTCAGTGTCAAGTGACGTGAGAAAGTTGGTGAATCAGTTGTGCTGTGAGAGCTACAACCAGTAAAAAACCCGGCACAGAAACAAAACAGCAAAGTCTGACAAATATCCAAGGCAAACCTCAGAAAGATGATGGCCTACCTGAAGGTCCCTGACACTCTGATTTTGCACAGAATCCTACAGAGAAGGTAGGTGCGCTTAAAGGGGAAGAGGCTGAGAAAAGGGAGAAAAGGCTTCTCCTAATGTACGAGCAATGGAAGCTACAAGCACGCAAAGCAAGAGAACAACTGAAGAAGTACATGTCGGACTGCCAGCATTGGCCTCTCATTGACGAACTTAAGAAAACTAGAGAAGACATATTGAACATATATTGTAAAATTCAAAACCTCAACCCTCCACAACCTTCCACTGAAATAAGACAATAAGTAGACACATGTGAAGCAGTGACCACAGAAATCATCAACATTGCATACAGCAGAGCAATAGACGATGAAGGTGACTTTAACGAGTAACAGGAAAGAGGCAGCCTTCATGAACTGCTCTACCGTGACTATGCAACATCTGTTTCTATTTCTATCTTTACAGCTCTTCTGCTTCCTTGATTGACCACCACTCCACAACCTTGTCTTTGGCAGCCAAACATGCGGATGCTGCAGCTGAACTGACAGCAAAAGAGGCAAACTATGAATTGATGCTAGAGGAAGAAAGATAAAAGACAACAATGAAAGACTCTAGAGGCACAAAAGCATAAGTTAGAGCAATTGCAGGCAGAGAAGGAAGGAGTAGCTCAAGCTAATCTGAAGGTCTATGAGGAGGAGACTAAACGTGAAGTTGCTGACCACATTGACCATAAAATGAACAAGGAACTATAAAGGGGGTCCATAACTGCAGTCCCTTCATCCCATGTTACAACACCTTTTCATACAGACATTTCCTCCTTGAATAGGCTCCCTGTTGTCCCAGTGGCTCCAAGGACTACAGACTGGTGGCATTGCCCTCCCACATCATGAAAACCCTGGAGAGACTGGTTCTGGAGCAGCTGCGGCCCATAGTCAAACCTCACTTGGATCCACTCCAGTTCGCCTACTAGCCCCGACTGGAAGTTGAGGACGCCATCATCTTTCTGCTCAATTCGCATCTACACTTACCTGGACAAGCTGGCGAGTACTGTGAGGGTCATGTTTTTTGACTTCTCCAGTGCTTTCAACACCATCCGGCCAGCTCTTCTTGGTGAGAAGCTGACAGCAATGGAGGTGGATGTTCCCCTCGTGTCCTGGATTGTTAACTACCTGACTGGCAGACCACAGTATGTGCGCCTGCAACACTGTGTGTCAGATAGAGTGGTTAGCAACACCGGGGCCCCGCAGAGAAGTGTCCTTTCTCCCTTCCTCTTCACCCTCACCCTGGTAGGTGACTTTGTCACATGGTGTCAGCAGAACGATCTGCAGCTCAATGTGACAAAGACTAAGGAACTGGTTGTGGACCTGAGGAAGGCCAAGACCTGTTTCCATCCAGGGGATCAGTGTAGACACTGTGGAGGATTACGAGTACCTGGAAGCTCACAAAGACAATAAATTGGACTGGGCGAAGAACAATCAAGCCCTCTACAGGAAGGGTCAAAGCCCTCTCTATTTTCTAAGGTGGCTGAGGTTCTTCAACATCTGCAGGACCATGCTGAGGATGTTCTATGAGTCTGTGGTGGCCAGTGCTTTCCTGAGGGTAGCAGACGCTAACAGACTAAATGAACTGAACCACCAGGCCAGTGACGTTGTGGGAGTGGAGCTAGACTCTTTGACAGCAGTGTCAAAGAAGAGGATGCTGTCCAAGATTAATGCCATCTTGGACAATGTCTCCCACCCACTCCACAATGAACTAGTCAAACACAAGAAGCACCACAGAGCGGCACAGGAAGTCATTCCTGCCTATGGCCATCAAACTCTTTAAATCCTCCCTCAGAGTGTCAAAACTCTGAGTCAATCAGTCATTAAAGCCGATTAAGGTGCAATACCTGGGTCAATGTGCAATACACTTGATTATTATTATGTTATTCTATTTCTATTATTATTCAATCATAACTTGTAATTATCTATAACTTCTGAAAGCTACAATGTTAAACTCATTGCTATTTCATTTCTGTCACTGTGGAATATGTATATGTATATATTTATCTTTGTATTTAGGCTCTTATTATCTCATTATATCTCTTAGGCTCTTATTATATTTCTATTAACATTTTTATTTTAATCTTACTTTTACTTATGTATATATCTTATTGTGTTATAAATTGTAATATAAGTATTATTTCTATTCTTAACCATGTGTGAGTAGAACAACTGTAACAAACAAATTTCCCCATGGGGATCAATAAGGTATTTCTGATTCTGATTCTGATTCTGTCCCAGAGCCCATATTCTTCAATGATGATCTAATGTTATTCATTGAATGGAAGGCGGCATTTACCTCGACCAAAGAGAAATGACTACAGCTGAAGAACTATTACCTGAAGAAATATGTTTGTAGCCCCGCACGACAGGTTCTAGATGACACTTTCTACCAAAACGATAATAAAGCCTATTCAAGATGCCTGGAACAAACTCAATCATTGCTTTAGCCTGCAATTTGCCATTCAAAGAGCATTCAGAGAGAAGGTCACCACTTGGCCAAAAATCCAACCTAAGGATGTTAAAGGACTCGTCCGATTTTCTAAATGCTTGTCAAGATTCCATACCTCACGTCAACGATCTGGAAATATGAAATAACTGTGAAGCGAACCAGATGCTCATTCAAATACTACCAACTGGGCAGAATCACACTGGAACCAACAAGTCACACAGAGCTTGAATACTTTGCTATATTCATATCCACAGAAGCTGAGATTGCCTGCAAACCAATTACATCCTTCCATGCTCATTGTTCATCAGACCCTGGCATTGAGAAGAGACATTTCTGAGACACAAATAGAAACAAAGTTTTGTGAGGGCCCGAGCACGGGAAAGTGTTCATTTAAGCGCAGAAGAATAATAATAATTTTTACAATTACAATAGGGCTTTCGCACTGGTCAGTGCTCGGGCCCTAATAAAGCCACTGTTCTCACCACTCAAACTGTCACAGACAACAACCAAAGGTCGGACTGGAGAAGGGTTAAGCTTCCATGTACTCTTTGTCAAGATAACAGGCACGAGCTTCATGGATGCTCAAAGTTCAGAGAGATGCAGCTGATCGAGCGACGCAACTACGTAAAGCAAAAGCAACTCTGCTAGGGAGGCCTAAAACCTGGCTACAGCACAAAAGACTGCTGTCATCTCCACTCCTGTGACACCTGTAAAGACAAGCATCCTACAGCCCTCCATCATGACAACTATAAAAGGGAAAGGTCTTCATCAGAAACCGGGACAAATCAAGGTGCTGCTGCAATGTCACTCAGTGTAGCAGGTGAAGGCTCATCCTACACATCAATGGTAATGCCAGTGTAGGTTTTGTCAAAAACCAGTCATACTGCTGAGAAACTTGTCTATGTAACTTCTATACAAAGTTTGTATGTTCCATTATTGTAATGAATTGTAATGACTTTCAGTGACACTCTATAAAGTTGGAAAGCGAATTGGGGATGGTGAGCTAACTGACAACATCAAACTTGGTTGATTTTCGAACGGGAAATGCAATATTTGATTATTAAAAAAAAAATTTGATTAGCAAAACAATCAGAATCTAACCGTTTTTATCACCTACTCTTACACTAACAGCATGGTAGCACACAACCTTTACAGATTGTGAGTACAATTAAATGTTGCACACATATGAATCTGTCATCTGCATATTAGACTAGACTACATTCTGATCTTTTCAGTCATTTATAAAAAAAGAATAGAGGCGGAG